TTTCGGGGGCACTCGGAGGCATCTTGGGGCTGGGGCAATCGTGGAACCGTTCGGGCGTCGTGGACCCTCTTCGAAATGCAATTAATAAGCTCAACTGGGCCACGACGCGGGGCACTGGATATCGCGAGCCGCTTAGGGCGTCCTCGGAGTATCCTGGCCACGTGTCGGAATACACTGCGTGCGTCCATATCTGGCACGCGATTCGCTCAGAGCTGGCAAAAATGACATTGAGCTCCAACATCGCATACCGCAACTCGCTGAGCAACTGTCGAAGTTGAACTCCATGACGCAATCAACATTTCGCTGAGCAGCGGCATGACCCGCTTTCACTGCACACCTCCTCTCTTTCTCTCTCTCAAGTGCTGATATCACCGCTGTGGCCGACCAGTGCGGACCCGTGGAATGCTATCCGAAGCAATTTCCTGCGCGATAGAAGCCCCTGCGAAATTCACGATACGGATGTCCATCCACGTAATCACAGTGGTCGCCCAGCAAGTTCTCACACGCACAGTGCTTCGCAAGAAACGCGAAAACGCAAAAGACCAATCCCAAGATAGCCTGGAAATCCTGCCGAGTTGCGAGACGACCTCTCGTACGCTGTGGTGCACACATTGTAACAGATGTCGTTCGTCTCCACGCTGCATTCCCGCATCTCGCTGAGCAGCGACAACGCATGCCGCCACTGGCCGCATCTCTCATACGCGCAGGTCGCAGCGATGTAGCTGACTATGGCGGACACATGGACGAGCGTCCACGACAACTGATTCGCACGCAAGGTTGAATTCGCTTGCCTGCTGTCATGCTTGCGCGCTGCTCTGCGCGCATGGCTGGTCGCCTGCTGCCCAAGCAACTCCATACCCAAATGTTTGAGTCTGCGTGCTGGCCAACGTCCATTCCTGCCAAGTTGCCTGTTTGCTTGCTTGGTTGCGTCGTCGTTTACTCTTTTGCTCTGTGGCAACCAAAATCACGTGGGATGTCGGCAACCGCCTCGGAAGAGTAGAACGCGGAGGGGCACAAAAGGAACCATAATATTTAGGCGACCGTTTCGGCGGGTGGTCGCTGGACTGCGTTGGATGCGGGCTCGGGGACTTCGACGGTGAGCATGCCGAGCATGCCGAACATGCTTGTTGTGCGTTCAATGCGGGTGCGTGGATGTGTGTTCGGGTATCCGTGGGATGTTGTGGACATGTCGGCGCGTTTGCGTGCGGTGCGACGTGGCATGCACCTTGCGATCCCGTGCGTCGGGTTTGGTGTTTCGGACGTTGCTGCGGGGCGGCTTGGTCGGATCTGCAGGGCACGGGAAGAGGAGCTGCGGCGTAGGTCAAACACAGACCTGCGCTTGCTGCTTACTCGTTGTGTCCGGGGTTGGCTCGTCGCACGGGGCGTCCGCAAGCTTCTGGGGAGCAGGATCGGAAAACGGATGTGGAGAGACATTTTCGGCGAAGCATGTGGGCGGGTGATGAGGGGCGCGTTTTCAATGACGTTCGGTGCTGCGCGGCGGGAGCGAGGCACGCGGTTTCCCGCTTTGCGCTGGCGCCGCGGAGAAAGAAAAAGAGAGAGAGAGCGAGAACAA